AAAAAAAAAAAAAAAAAGCTTAAAAAAAATTTCTACAGCTCAAATCAAAATTTTATCCATATATCTTTAGACTGAAATGTCTTTATATCACTCCTTCAACTCAGGATCAAGCCTTCTGAAAAAGCCTTTCCACTCACTTGGTTTAGTCCCAACACTTTCCATTCACAGCTTAATCCGTTACAACCTTACATTGCATTCACTTTTCTCCCCTTCTGATCTGGATTCTGCTTCCACTCAACCACAGATCTGCTCATCAAAATCACCAATTATCTCAGTGTTCCTATGTCCAGTGGGCACTTCTGGGTCCTGGATGACTCAGTAGCACTTAACATAGCTGACTAGTACCCCCACAACACTCTTTTCCCTTGGCTTTCCTTGTACCTCTCCTGCCTCTCTTTCACATTTTCCTTACTAACTTATTTTCTACCATTAAATTGAAGTCTTCTCTTTTACTGTACTCCTCCTCTAGTTGATTGTATATATCATTCTCTAAGATAATCTTCAATCATCAGCTATAGGCCTAGTATTCTAGCCTAGACCTTTCTTTTGGATCTCAAATTTACTCCAAACAGGCAGTAACTTGTTTATTTGCATGGGCATGACAATACTATTAGGAAGGCTGAGCTGGATTACTGCTATTAAGCTGAAACCTAATCAATTGTATTATGCTTCCCTGGACAAAGTCTAAACAGAGAACGGTGGTGGTGACCAACCAAAGTGGAAGAGAGGGAATCTTGGCTAAGCAGATTGTATTCCCTAGCCTACTATCCATATGGTATATGGGAATAACTGAAGCTACCTTAAAAGATATTGCTTAAGAGAAACTAATTCCATTCATAGTGATTCTGTAACTCAGCAAACAACCTTCTAAAACATTTTGCTTCCCATGTGGTGGGGCTGTAGCTGAAGGGGGATGTGGAGGTTTGTTTTTTGTTTTTAAGCTGAAAGACAGGAAAACATAGCTGTATGTCAATTTAATAAAAGTAGACAACTGATGAAGCAGTCACTGAGAATGAGAGAGGACATGGAATCCAGAACAAAAGTAGGAGGACTGGTTTGAATGAAGGTGGCAATGAACACAGATGTGTAAGATGCTGCATTATCTGCTGCTTTTTAGTTCCTCAATGAAGAACATTCATAACAATAACAACAAAAAAAAAACAGAAGGCAGATTTTTATTCTATTACTCTGTGGCTTTAGCCAACAGGCCATTCAGATCAAGGATACTCTCTAATGAGAAAATCAGACTGAAATCTGCATTAGTCAAGTCATGAATTCTCTGCAAATACTGGTGAATCAGGTAAGTAAAGTAAGCGTTGTCCTAAGATAACCACTTTTAGACTGTGTAGAGTTTCACTGGGTTTAGAGTACTCGCCCACGTAGATAATCAAGTAATGTGTAGTTATTATTTGGATCCTAATTCTAACAAATCAATGTAAAAAGACATTTGTTAGAAACAGTTGGGAAAATCAAAACATGAACTGGATATGAAATTATCATTACTTTTGTTAGGTGTTATAATAATGGAACAGTCATTATGACAGAAAATGTCTATATATTAAGAAATACAATTGGAAATACAGAGGAATAAACTAACATGATGCCTGGAACTTGCTTTAAAATACATTAGTGAAGAAAAAGTGGGCAAATGAAATAAATGCAGCAAATCTTGGTAACCACTGAATCTGGATGAAGGTATTAGGGGAAAAGGGAGCCTTGAATAGTTTCTCTACTTTTCTATGTGTTTGATAGTTTTCATAATAAAAATGTTTTTGCTCCTTAGGGGGAAAAAAAAAGCCTTGTTAATAGATTATTAATTAACATCCCACCACCTGGTAAACCAGGTCTTTTTATCAGGGAGGAAAATGTCTATGGTGTCAATACTACTAATGAGATGTTAAAAAACTGATTTTTAAAATTAACTCAGAAGTATAGTTTTACATCATCCCATTCTCTCCAAACACGATACTTCTTAGAAACTCCCTTCAAATTCCATGGCTCCTCCTTACCATCTCCAACCCTAAGCTATTTTGTAGGGTGCAACAGTGTGACACTGTGTTGGGGAATGGGGGCAGAAGCAGCCTTGGGCATTGTAACGCCTAACCACAGAGAAAACTGTAAATTAGCTACATAAAAAAACATTTCCTTAACTGATTCAAGACATTTTTTTTTTTTTGAGAGGGCATCTCTCATATTTATTGATCAAATGGTTGTTAACAACAATAAAATTCTGTATAGGGGGGTCAATGCTCAATGCACAATCATTAATCCATCTCAAGCCTAATTCTCATCAGTCTCCAATCTTCTGAAGCATAACGAACAAGTTCTTACATGGTGAACGAATTCTTACATAGTGAATAAATTCTTACATGGTGAACAGTACAAGGGCATTCATCACAGAAACTTTCGGTTTTGATCAAGACATTTTTTAATCCTTGATAAATTAGAGAAATCCAGAGACAGAAAAGACAAGATAATTTATACATTATGACTATTATATAGATCAAAAATGATATTACTACTTTGAAAAACTTAAAATTGGCTATAGAGAATTTCACAAAGGTCTCAACCTCCTTCCTCTGAACGTATTTAATGCAAGGAAAACACTTTAAAAAGTCAAATCTATATTGAAACCCTAAAAAATATCAATGCAAATGGCCTACAGAACCAGAAGACATTTATTTTGACCTGTTATAGTGTAACCAATTATGAAATAAAACTAGCAATATATTTTTTTCTTTTTACTAAATACAACCAACATTTATAATCTTAACAATCACAACAAATCTTAATATTCAATTTTACTCACCCCAAAGGTTTTGGTTTGTGCGTATCTAAAGAGTGCAACTGACATCTCTTGTTCTTTTTACTTTTTGGAATAGCATCTATCATGTCATTTAGTTTGGACCTAATCAAAAATAAACCATCAAAGGTTTGATTAATATTTATTTTTCTTTAGAATTTTCAAAATCTCTATTTACTGCCTCTCAGTGAGAATGTACTTCAAGTATTATAGACACATCACCTATTTTGAAAATTTCTCAAACCTGTATACTTGTCTCCCCATTCCATTCCCAGTCTGTCAAAATGTTGAAAGAGACCTGCTCTATACAACATTTTCTCTCTCCCCAGACTGCATCTGTCTCATTCATCCCGGCATCTGCACTGTATCTAGCAGTGTGCCTGGCATGCAAATATTTTATGACTGACTGCTACCTGACTCTAAGCTATCTTCCCTTATCCAAACATTATCTTTAAAATACACTTATTCTTGATGTGGAACCATCAACAGAAACTTTATGCAAAATCAGAAATATGTATAGCTAATATCCATAACCTACATCCATCAATCAACAAAGCCTGGCAACTCTTAACTTTTGAATACATCTAGAATCAATCACTCCTCATCACCTCCATCATTAACACCCTTGTCCAACTTGCCTCTCTAGCTTAGTCAACTTCAATAGCTAGCAAATAGTCTCCTTGCTTCCATCCTTGCCTTTACATTCTAGGCTTCACTTAGAGCCAGAGTGATCTTCTCAAAACAGTCACATTATGGTATTTCTCTGTTCAGAAACCTTCCAAGGTTTCTTTCCTCAGGCAGGCAGAGTGAAAATCCAAAACCTCTACCACTCCTCTAAATAGGATTTGATCTTTGGATCACTTCTCTTTTCCTATTTATAATCACTCTTTGGTGATCACATCTCATTTCATAGGCTTAAATTATAAATACATGCAAAATTTGTATGATGTAAAAATACATGGTTTAAATACCATCTATATGCTAATGACACAAAGTTGTATCTCTAAACCAGACCTCTCTGAACTCTACTTGGACCCCCAACTGGTATCCCCAGTTTAACACATCCAAAAGTGAGCTCTGTAAAAAATCTCCCCCATCTTACCCATCTCAGTAAATGGAAGACATTTGTTCTGTTCTTTGGACCCCAAATATGAAAGTTACCCTTGATGCCTTTCACCATATCCAATCCATTCAAAACTCCTGTTGGCTCACTCGTAATATATCTAGGATCTAACCATTTCTCATTAGTTCTGTGGCCACTATACTGGCCTCAGATGTAATGAGTGGACATTAATGAGAAATAAGTAAGTTATTTCTTGCATGGATTACTAAACAGCCTGTTTCTCTGCCTTCCACAACCTTTTCATTTACTCTCAACACAGAGGTCAAAGTAAGCCAAACTAATCAGACCATGTCACTCCTCTGCTCAAAACCCTCCTCAATCTTCCTCTTACTCAGAGCAAAAAAAAAAAAAAAAGACCTTAGGGTGGCACTACATAATTGGGCCTTTTATTGCTCCTCTGACCTCATCTTTTATTACCGTCCTCTTCTTTCATCTAACTCCAGACCCAGTGGCTTCAAACATGCCAAGGAAACTCCAACCTCTGAACCTTTACACTGGCTGCTCCTTCTCTGCCTTCTTCCAAATACCTACATGGTTCACTTACTCCATTCAAGTCAATATTCATTGTTATTTTATCAAAGATGACCTCTCTGACCATCCTCCATATTAATTTTACCCACTCATTCTCTATCTCCCTTACTTGTTTTTCTTTTAAACTTACCATACCTGACAGATTATGTATTTGCTTACTGCCTGCCTCTCCTCACATGAAAAGAAACTTTACAGGCACTGACACATAGAATACTCAATAAAATTGTTGAATTTGAACTCAAGCCCTCACCAAATTCAGAAGAAAAGCTACTACTGTCACCAAGTTTAAAAATTTAACAAAGCCATTTTTCTCTAATTGATTAGACTTACCCATGTACATAAAATAATGTATACAGCTTCTTTGCATCAGTCATGCAGCTTCGAGTTACAGATAGGACACCTTTGGGCCCTACTGTCAGGGGTTCAAGGGCAGGATTTCCAGACTCTACAAGCTGGGAGAAGAGGCGCTCCACACTGCGACGACAACCAACACATGGGACGAGCTGAGAAAGCGCACTCAAGACTTCCCGTGATGTCACCACCATGGCAATACTTAAATCTTGTTGCTTAAGCATACTATGTCGCTAAGAGAAAGAGGGAAAGAAAATGAAGAACTCTTAAGAAAGATATAAAATTACTCTTTCACTACTACTTCTGGTTCTTATTCTTGTGCCCAGTACAAACTGGGCCGGGCCAGCCATCTCTACCTGCTACTAGTCAGAAAGGCAATCTAGTCAGCCTTGTTTGTGTTGTACTGAGCTTCTTCCACAAGCCCCCCTGTTCTAGAACTACAGTATAAAAAGCTCTGCCTAGGATATAATGACTAAGCAATATGTGCCCCAGTAAAGCAAAAATAAACCCTATCTATGAATTTAGAGCTTGTTCAGTGATATTCAGCTTAAGTGTCCTCACTTAAAATTTAAAAAATTTTTAAAGAAAAGTAAAAAATAAAGACAGACACAATGTAGCTTTACCATGTCTTCTTCTCAACTTTCAACAACACACTATGTTTAGCTACAGGAATCAAGTTAGGATGGTGATCATGTAGAGCATCAATTCTCAACCTGGAGGTATGGACAGGGGTGTTATGGATTAGTGGAATGGAACAAGGCCTATCCTACCTATATAGGAGCCTGCAGTGACTTACTAATATGCTGGTGCATATGAATGTTATCTGTTGGTTTGTGACAAGGCAGAAAAATAACTAAGAACCACAGCTATAGAGAAATGGGCAAAACTCTGGTAAATAACTTCTACCTGGATGGATTTATAGTTACACTACAAGTCATGCCTCCAGCTCTTCCAAAAACAGATGGGAAAATAACTTCCAAGAAGGATTTTTCATTAACCTTTCAAAGTTTTCTCCAAAAGTAGAACTAGAATTTTGAAGTAACAATTTGTCTTTCATTTTCTTGACTACATACAATGTGTTTATAAAGTATCACATTGCATGAGAATTTTTAAAAAGCCAGAAAGTTCACGGTACAGAATTAATTTTTTTTTTACTTGAACAAAACTGTCCTACAGAAAAAAGCCCAACAAATTCTCAATGAAAAGTTGCATACCTTGTAAGTAAGATGTTCTGGTGAAATTAAAGCCTTGCAGACATGTAAAACCGTAACATACCACCACCAAATCTCTTTTACATGACAGGTACAAAAATATATTCACTGTAGCAATAGTGATAGAAAGCAATTCAGTACAATCTTAAGACTAAGAGAGCCTTATAAAACACTTAGTTAAAATTTTAAATGACTCTAAAACACAGACACACACACCATTTAAAACTATGATTTTTAAAACTATTACCTGAATGAACTGCTTTAATTGTGCACCATTATTTTGATGTCCATCAAGATTTAACACATTGTCAGGAAATTCCATCACCATCTTAATATGTAAGAGAATAAAAATAAATTATTTCATCTTCTTTGCACACATGATACAGACTATTTTATTAACTCCTAGGAAAGAAATAGACCCTTAAAGCCAGATTTGCCCACCTTGCCCCCTGTCAAAAAAAGTTGAACAAAAGTTCAAGTTATACAAGTTTCTAAAGCCAGACATTGTCATTAGGAGCAAGGGCACTGAGATCACGCAGACAATAGTTCAAATCCCAGCATAACTCTGAGCAAGTTACTTAACTTGTCTGATTTTCAGTTTCCTCACTTGTAATGTGGGGATTAAATTATGTTTACGAGTGTTTGCTGAAGTGGCTAATAACAGCATTTAGTAAGTGAAATAACCTGATATTTTACATTAAACACACATTTTTAGTTATTCATCTTAACTTTGGAATATAGTAAGCCTTATGTAAATGAGTATATATGAAACATACATATAATGACTTATATATAAAGTACTTTATATACAGATAGATACAGTACTCAGAACAGTATCCGGCACATAGTAAATATTTGCTCTAATTATGAACAAAAAGAATAAACAGATATTTATTCAAGTATCAAAATAAACTACCAGAGGGAAGAGAGATACAAAGTTTAAGGTGTTTTGGGATGTCAGAAAATGGGAAATTTGTAATCAATACATTTCAGTTATCTGTGACACCACTGATTGTAAGAAGTACCATAGTTATGTACCACTAGGAAAGAGCCATTATAACTAAATGGTGTCACCAAATTAAAGAAGCATCCCAATTTCAGAGATGTTAAAATATGAAGGAAAAAAAGGTATGCCTTCAAAACAATGGATAAAGAAACCCACTTATATCTTAACTAAAACACTGTTGAAGATATCAAACAACTGTCCTAGGACAAATTTCCAGTTGACAAGGGCCACAAACTCCTACACACCCAAAGAGTGAAGTCAGGATAAAGAGATCCACTTGAATCAAAAACAAAAAAACTAAAAAACCTAAAAACCGCAACCAGTTGAGTGTGATCTTAAAAAGATTTCTCTTAGACAAGTAATGATTCTATAGAATCTTACTACACTGATGTACAGTGATTGTAATGGGGTATGTGGGGGGGACTTGATAATAGGGGGGAGTCTAGTAACCATAATGTTGTTCAAGTAATTGTACATTAACGATATCAAAAAAAAAAAAAAAGGATTTCTCTTTACCAACCAACTCCACAAAGACCTGCTTCCTTAACAGAGGTGACCATTCTTGTCCCTCCACATTAGAAATCAGAGCCTTAAAACACGCTTGTTCTTAACAATAAACTGCAGACAGAACAACTAAGGCAGGTGTAAGCAATAAATGTATGCTCTTTTCTTGATTTGGTAAGGGGAATATTGGATATGTGAAGTGGAGACAAGTGGATATAAGGGTGGATGAAAACGCAAGCACCAACTCAACAATCCAGGACCTCACAGTATTTCACAGAACCAGAAGCCACTTGAATAATATGACTCAATTTCTTATATGTTTTCTTGCAGAAAAAGAAAATACATAATATATTAGATGTGGCTATCTAGGCAGTGAGGAGACAGAGTATTTTTTATGTGCTTCTCCCTCTCCCAAATTTATTACAATGTATATAAACTACTTATCATCAGGGGGTAATCCATATTCCTTGCTTCTAAGTCTAGATTCATTATTCCATGTTCAGAGACATGTTTCCACCTCAACAGCTTTTACTGTTCTAGATGTTTCTTCTTCCACACACAAGGACTCTGTTCATATTTCAGTTTCAAGGATCAATTATCCAATTTTCAGGTTTATTGATGTCTCTAGTTTTTCCTCTCAATAGTCTTAATATCTCCACAGTGGTGGTAATAATAGTACAGACATATAATGTAGCTTCACATATATATATATATTCATACATATAGGCATTATTCTAAGTACTTTTATATACTAACTTTACCAATACCACAAAGTAAAACTGGTCACTAGTCTAGTAATTGTAACTTTGAATGAACTGGTGAGGATGACTGAAATAAATGAGTAAAATATCTAATGATCCAAATTGCTCACTGTAATTTATCATAATTAACAGTCTCAAATAAAAAAAAAAAAAACATTTAACCACCCTGGTATCAGAAATCCTGGCCCATGAAAACTGATAAAAGAATACAAACAGTTAATAGTACAAATAACTCATATAATGTTTTCTGGAATCACCCTATAGTTTAAAATGCAAAAAGATTTAACTGCCATGTCATAAAAAATGTATAGGATAAACTTTTAAAACCATGGAATTCAAAAGAACACTTGCAGGTCACTCCAAACCTACCATTTAAGCAACACTTGATTTGCATTTTCACTTGTTCGATATAAATATACACAACTTTACCACATATCAACTGCCACCATAAAACAATTAATTCAATTACCTATACTATTTTAAGATCAAAACTATCAATTTAAGAAACATTCAAAGAATGATCTTCATTTAACCAAATAAAGGTCTCCCCACTCTGTTCATAGGTGAAATCCCGAATTCTGACTCTATTTAAGTGAATAATTTTTATTCTCATTAACTATGTTTTATTGTTTCAGTAATTAGAGGTCAAAAACACATTGAACATACTGAGGCCAACCAGCTGACCTTTAAAAATACACACACACACACACACACACACACACACACACACAAAATTCAGGATAATACCTGCTTTAGGAATCCTTTTTAAAAAGTCAACAAGGAACAGGGTTAAAATTAAAAAAGAAAAATTTTTCTTAACCCCCCATTTAGATCGTTTCATTTTTACCTAACTAGTGCATACAGATTAATGTCAAGTTTCAGTCTATCACTACATATGTCTTTCTGGGGTTGCATTGGCTTGGATAGTACTAAATTTTCTCTTGTACTTACTCTATACCACTCTGCTTAGAAACTACAGTCACACTAAATACTTTGTCCTTCCTTTCAAACACAGAACAATGGCTTTTTACCTTGTTATTTTCTGGCCAATCACTACATGCTCTTTAATATTGAAAAATGGCAGTAAGAAAAAGGAAAAAAGGAAAAAGGGGAAGGCAAAGAGATAACAACACTATTTTTCCTCCATTCTGTAAAATCACTTCAATTTAATCTTCAAATTCTAGGTTACCTAAAGGAAGACAGTCATGTAAAGTATTTCAGGTGTAGTTTCACAGAGGAATCATTAGTGTTTGGCTTCATGATGAGGTAGCCTATTCCTAGCTAGCCAAAAATAGAACCAGTCATTGTCCTGCAATTACTGCTTTGTAAAGTTTATTGAATCCACTACCCACTTTCACTGTTAAGTATCTGTCCTGGTTTCTCCTGACCACAAATAATCTGCTTTTAGCACATTCTCATCTCTAACCAACAATATTAAGTTTGTGTCTGTTAAAAAACATTGTCACTTTAGTTTTACTTTTTTACTTCTTCATTCTCACAGCTATCTGTAACATCTATCACCTTTGGTAAATTATTTAATCAAATTGAAAGAAAACATTAAATACTAAACTTTTAACAAGTGCTACACATTTAATACCCAAGTAGATGTGCTTCCATTTATTACCTTTTAAAGTCTCAGTTAAAAACCCTTATCAGAGTTTCTAGTCCATTTAGGTTGGTTTGAATTAGGAAGGTAAACTGTGTTTCAGAAATAATGCTGCAATTTGACAGAACTTTATATAAAAGGTTTTATCCTTTGATCAAGTAACTGTATGTCCAAAAGCATGAGAAAAAAATTTTAATGTGAAGATTTATGCATTTATATTCTTACAGTATTATTCATAGCAAAAACTGGAACCACCTCTATGTCCAACAAACGAAGAATGACTGAATCATGAAATGTCACATACAAAGTATCACACAGTCATTAAAGCTGTTTAAGAATGACAAGAGAAAATGTTTTCAATATTACATTTAGTGAAAAAAAGCAAGATATGAAATGTTACAAAGGATAATATATCTCAACTCTTCATCCATGTGTGTTTATTACTAGTATATCCTTATCTCTGGGAAATAGAGTTAAAGATAATTTGTTTTGCAGTTACTTTCTCAAGATTATTTTATAAGGAGTATATATTTGACTCTTATTAAAAAAAAATGCTTGCTTAAAAATTAATTCTTCAAAGATGTCTCTAAAATAAAATCTATATTCTATTCATCTGCTATTTTACAATTCTAATAATACTGAAAAGCATTTTAGCCACATTGCATGCCACTTTCCCAAATATTCCACCAGTTTACTTATTTGGGATTTTCTCAAATACACCTACATCAGCACTGTATGTAAGTATTCACACCCACTAGGATACCGTACGAGTCTTTTAAACATGAATACAACATACCACAAAAAGGAGGCTACTTCCTCACATACAAGCTTCTTTTTAACAAATCCAATTTAAAATCACCAGCTTAACTAAGTCTAGAGGTTTAAACTAGTTACCAAAATGATAAAACATTTACAGCTGATTGTAAACACTGTAACTAGACTTAATATCTGGGAACTAACAGGATTCTAAGACTGCTTGAAACAAGGATCACACAATGTCTCTTCGTTGCATTACCTGTGGAAGTAGAACAAAGACCAGACCAAATGTCAACTTCAGGGATCCACTGTCATCAAATTATCAGTGGACCCATGCATAGCATAAACCACTTTCCCTCCCTCTTCCCCAACAGGTGTTTGCTCTGCATTCTTCCTTATAAGCAGTATTTGACAGGATGGTTCTGAAATTTGTTCCCATAAGTATGATGCATTCTTGACAAGAATTTTCACTAACCAGCATTCAATGACCATGCAGAAGTTCCAAGACAAAGTTCAATAGTCCCACTCATTCCCTAGTGATAAAACGGTCCCAAAGAAAAACTGCACCTTTTCCTAAATAAGATGCTATTTTGAGGTATTTAGATTAAGCAAGCCAAATTTGCCTTGGTCACAAGTTCACAATACAATAAAAGCAAAACTCAACCACAATATTCAGTCCAATCCCAACTTCTCCTGAGAAATAAATACAGTAATAAATAACAGCGCAAGGTTACACCTTTTTCTATGAACAAATTTGGAAATACCACTGTATAGAGACTTGGCTATTTTTAGAATGCTACAAGACAGATGTATCAATGCTGCCGCATTCACATTAAAGGTAGTTTTATAAGCATAAGGAATCAATAAGTGTCTTTTAAAATTTTTTAGCTACTCAAATTTATGTTGCTATCCCTTATGTTCTGACATTACGTACTCAAGAGTAATCTTACATCCAAACCCACAGGATCTTTTTTTAACTTCAAAGGCACTTTGGGACAATAAATATAAAAGATTGATAGCGAACTATGTGCTCTAGTAAAGTGTTTGTGTTAAAAGGGGAGAGAAGAAAGAAAACAGATGAACTCATATGGGAGTTTTCAAATTGAAAAATGTATCATTTAATTTGATTAGAGTGCTATTTTTTTCAAGTACTTAAAATACAAGTCCATTATACTTTTAGTGCAAAAAGTGCAGAAATCATAACCAAGGCATACAAGTACAAATTCTACTTAACTTATTATGTGGCCAAATCATTCTACTTTTTTCCAGATCAAAAAAAAATGTAGTTGGGTAATTACAGACGCTTTTGCTAAATTCTAACAAATTAAGTCATTCAATAGCTCTTCTCATCCTTTTAAAAAGTACTACAGCTCAATCAAGTCTTGAGACTGGCAAACAGAAAAGCATACAGTGGCATCTCTACAATGACTTGCACTTTATATAAAATTTGAAAAAACTTCGGTAGGTATTGCAACAAAAATTTTTTTTGAATTCAACAATACAGGTCAACTGCTTTTGAAAAGCAAAAAAGCCAAAGGTAGTTAAGATGAAGAGACTTAGTTACACCTATCAAAATGGGCAGCTGTATAATCCAAAGCTTCAGCATCACCAAAATGCAGATGTCAAAAGATACTTAAAAAAGGTTCATTTCATTTCTTAAGAAATAGTGGCAAACAACTGCACTCATTTCCTGTTCAGATTCAATTCAAATTTCTGCCATTTCCTTTCAAAGGAAATACTGCAGCAACACAGGGCAGAGGGTCGGTAATGCTGTGCCACCAACTCTACCAGAACTGGGTTTTAACATTAAAGATAAGCAATCAGTGTCTAAAATGCTCTTACACATTCAGTAATTTTTCTTCCTTAAAAAAGAAAAAAAAGGCTACCTATAAACTAAAGAATAACTATTGCCAAGAAAGCCCATTTTGAAGAGTCATGGCCTAGCAACAGAATTATTTGTAAGAGTTTTAATGTACTCTGCAATACGAGACTACTCACAACGAAATCAAATCATTTTAGTGGAATCTGTGCTGTGCAAGAGCATGTCATTCTGCTCTCAGTGATTATGCTTATGCAGTGACAGCTACAGTATTTAGAAAACATACAGGTAGGAGGAGTGAAGCTGCGACATTTCCAGATAATTGAGCCTCCTGGAGGGTAGATGGTTTAAGAGACAGGCCCTGAATGCCCAAGATCCTTCAACCCCTCTCCAGGGAACACGCTTTGGCAAAAGCAGCTTCTCCTAAAGGGAACGGGTAAAATGAGAGGGTTCAAAACAAAGAGAAAATGTAGAGAGGGACTGGAAAGCCCTATGGAGCACTAAGGCCGCAGAGGTTACTGAGCGACCCACTGCAAAGGCGAGTTTGCGGGGCCTGCCGGGGAGAAGGCCTCGCCTAGGAGTTGCAACACACTATTTCTCCAGTGCGCAGCGCTCGGCCTGGGGGAGGGGAAGGAGGGGAAACAGCTGCCAGGGCAGCAGCGAGCCCGGCCCGGGCTGCTCACCGTGAGGGTGTCGTCTATGTAGAGGGGAATCTGCCTCCTCTCGAAGGGGAACTCCTCTTCCCCGTCCCTGCACACTGCCACCAGTCGCGCCATCGTCCCCGACGCTGCCGTTGCCACCGTCACCACCTCCTCCCAGATGCCGCCGCCTCCACCGCCGCTGCTCCTGCCGCTGTCGCCTCCTCCCAGCTCCTGCCTGAAACAGCCAAACCCCGCGAGCGTAAGCATCCGCCGCCGCGCAGCACTTTCGCCACGGAGGGAGGGTGAGGAGCGGGAGGGTACCGGAGAGCCGGGCAGCGTTTCCCATCACCCGATTCCACACGCGCTCAGCCATTCAGCGCTGAGCAGCGCCGGGACCCGCCCCCCCTCTCCGCTCACCCTCCCCAACCCCCACCCCCGCCGGCCTCCACTCAGGGTCCAAAGGAGAGCGGAAGGGACTCACCGGCCCTGGGGCTTCCCCAGCCCGTCACTGGAGTCCCGGCTCCAGAACCCAACCCCCGGCTCAGCGCCACAGCCCAGTGCCCGCTTCCCGCCGCCTGGGAGCTCTCAGCCCACTGCTGACCCCTTCCTCCCCTTTCCTGGAGCGCCCCGCCCAGTCAGTCCCCGGGCCGCAGCTGCCCAGCGCGACCCCGCCCCTGGGAGGGGTCGACCCCGCCTCAGCTCTGCGGAGTACTGGGGGAAGACAGACCCATTCCTCACCCTTCCTGGAGAAGGCCTCGCGGCTCTGACCTTCACCGTTTTCGTGGTCGCTTTCCTGACCCCCACCTCTGCTCCCCGTTACCAGCTGACAAGGCCCGCGTAAGGGCCGGCCTGGGCAGGAGCGCGGCTCCGAAAGCCGTTTCCTCTCCAGACTCGGCCGCCCGCGCCACGGGGAGTGGGGGAGGGAGGGCGGGGGACGTAGGGAGGGTGGGACAGGGAGGGCCCCGCCTCCTCTCGCGAGACTGTAGGCTGCCGCGCCCCGAGTCTCTTTCGAAACCCTAGGGGAGGGGGTGGGGTGCTCCCCGGTGCTCCCCGGTTCTCCCCGCTCCCCCGGCAATCTGGGACGCGTGCTCCGCGCCCTCCCTTAGTCTAGCTGCTCAAATAAACCCGACCTAGGGTTTCTCGCAGGAATGAGTAAGCCTAAACCTCAGTCCCCTGCTGTACAGGTCTGGGAACCGCTCTCCCAAGGGAGAGCTGGGCCGAGCTGATTAGGGGCCCACCGAAAGTCGAGGCCCAGCGAGCATTTGGGTAAGTAGGGAGGAACTGAGGCTTTTAAAATCAGTGAGAACGAAAAGGCGGGACTGAGGGAAGGCGAGACGACCATCTGGTGCGTAAGACGAACTCGGGGCTTGGTTTCCGTACCTGATGCAGCTTTCGCTGTCACCATGTTTTCACCAGATGCCGGCCGATCCCGTCGAGGGAACCGAAAATAAAATATTTTAAGTGCAGACAGTTGTGTGTTGTCGTAGTTACACCGGAGGCAAATAGAAGACTGTGTGGCAAGTGGCTTGTGTTTGCGTCCTGGCTAGAGAAACGTATTGGGTCGGGTTAATATTAACTTAAGGACTCAGGACACAGATTGCCTTGGAGAAAGTACTGATGCTGGCCAAAGGCCCTTCCCTCTGACCCTTTCCTGAGAAGAGCTGCTGTATAGGCAATTCATCTACACTCTTTGCCATCATGTACGCAGTTTCTACCTTGAAGCCTGTTCTACTTTGGAGTCCTGTTGTAAAGCCAAAATAATTACTGGGAAGTATTTTGCCTATAAAAGCCTTGACAATTTTGAGGATAAATCCATTTGCTGTTCTTAAAACTAATCCTGATGACAGATCTAGATTTCCTGGTAGAATAAGCTACAGCTATGATACTGGCCTTTAAAAAGTATTTTGGTCATCACATGATGTCTTAAGAGACCCACAAGGAAAACCCCATAGTGCATCCTTAGCCGCATTGTGTGGTCACTGTTGGGGTAGGTGACATAACAAACCAGAGACACAAAGGTGTGATTATCCAGTAAGTATACCTTTTGGCCATGTTAGAAGAGCAGAACAGTGTGATAGTTAACTTAAATCCAGTAGGCATTGCATGCAGCTTCTGACAGTTTAGACTACATAGCCGAAAATTGGACATTTTAAGAGACTCTTGTGTTTTATGTAAAAACACTCCTAAGGAAAAAAAGAATACTGTGACTTTTTTAAGATCCAAAGGTGCTCCTACAAAGACTATGTATAAATGTATAAAGACTATACAATTAATATATCTGCTTTATACCATTAAACTTCCTTTGCATTATAGTTGGGAAGGGACATTGAAAATGACAAGCTTAAGGTGCTAATTCCAATTACTTTCATTACTGAGTACTAGAAAAAGTATTCACCCTGGCGATTTAAATCTTACATTAGTAAAGGTACTAAAACCCATATATGAGACATATTGAGGACCACAACAATCTCTTTCCATCTGAGATTACCTCCCCTCATTTAGACTTGTCTTTTAGGTCCACTGAAAACACTGCTTAGTGTCTTTGGACAGTGTTTCACATGCTATAGGTATTTCAACAAATATTGTAAGGCTAAAAGGTGGGTGATTTGCTAGACAAGTTATTCTTTCTCAATATGAGGCGAAAACCTAGGTACTACAAATAGGTAAAATCAATATATGACATAAAATGCTTAGAAATTATTTCATAGGAAAACAATACTTAGAAGCTTTATGTAACTTTTTAAATTTTTTTATTAAAGTATTCATATGCAATCATATGTTGGTTTCAAATGTACATCACAGTGGTTCAACAGTCCCCATGATCAACTTCTACTGTGATAACAAATTATTTTGTCCTTTTATCCCCTCCCCCTTGTATCTTCTTCATTTTAGAGCAGGCACTCTGTTTTCACTAGTCTACCTTCAGCTATAACCAGTAGTGCTGTACCAAGTATTTCATGACTAGATGCCTTTAGAAAACTTACCTCTAATTGACAAAATAAGTGATGAGTACATAAAAAATCTAATTGTTGCCTATTTTAAATTTTGATTGGCATTGTGAAGGGCAAGGTTGGAAGATTTTAAAGTCCATGAAAGAGAAAGCAATCAACAGAGGATATTTTGCTGGTACCTAATAAAGAACAGTTGGACTGATGGAGATGTGATAGATGATCAGCAACTGTGAAACATTAACTTACTGAGAGAGATTTAAGACCTAGAAAAGGATGAACGGCAGCAGTTACTGACAAGCAGCAGCAGACCACTTAGACACCATGATCGTCAAGTCATCAAATAATTTAAATTATTTAAAATGACAGCCAGTGGAGCCTCTCAGCCCTCAGAATGCTTTGAACGAGGGCGTTGTGGGGTATTAACACTGACACAGTGAGCAGGAAAACCAATCACTTTTTCTAGTTATGCTTAATTTGCATACTAAAATCTTACTGGTTAAATTTCAAGTCTTCTTAATAGAAAATTAACCTAATTTTTGTTTTCATAGCTGTATTACTATTCAACATACTGATTTCTTTAGGAAATTCCTTTCAATAATAAACTCCACATACAATTGATTTTATAGTTAGCAAATAAAAATGCCACATGAACACTAAATTAGCCATCATGGGTGTTAACAAATTGAAGTAAATTAGTGTTAACAGTCATACTTAACAAATCACAGAATACAATAAATGAACTTACAGGCAACTAATTAAAACAGTAAATCCAAAATTTAATGTTAAAGGCTCCACCTACACAATAATCCAGATTGCTTAACAAATATGAAATTAACTTGAACATTCTGACCCCTGTGTATTTCTGCAATAATCACTTCTACTTGAGAATAGAACAACAAAAAGGGAGGTTTTAATTGATTTTTTTCATCCACTTTAAACATCATACAGTGAAGAATTAGGAACCACGGATTTTGTTTTTTAAATCTTTTGAGTAACAGGTTCAAAGGTCTACTTAAGAGTTTTTAAATGACTCAGGTTCTCAGCAGGGTATTAAAACCTTAAGCCATAGTTTTCCACATAGTTAATCCACAACTTAACAGAGATTTTCTAAGGTAAACTTTATTATAAAAGCAATACAATAAAAAATACAGGATTTGACCAGGTACTTGATGACTTTCTCACTGGTTCTTTCCCTTTAACACCGTAGATGAGATATGCCTGATCTGGCCCCGGCCTGCCTTAATTAGCTGGCACACTACCCATGCTCTCCCTTCTTTTGAGCTCCAGCCTTCCTTGAGTTCCAAGATGTGCTAGGTTCTCTCCTAACTCAGGACCTTTGCTTAAGGATTTGTTCTACCTAGAATGGCTCTCTGCTGTTTACCCTTTCCTTTACCAGTACCCATCCCCCACTCCCCAGATACTTTTAACTCCTCACCCCATCCATCACCTCTAGCCCCAGAAAATACCATCTGTGGGGAAAACTTTGACTCTACTAGGTCAGTTCTTGATTTGACACTCTTCACAACCTATACTTCATGACTTAACAGTTTATACTTCATGCATTAACAGTTTATAATAGTTGTTGTTTCCTCCACTAGATTGCAAGCTCCAAGATATCAAGAAATCTGCTTATCAACCCTTACAGAGTAAGATAAAAAAAATGCATTAGTCCCAAAAGCAAAACTATTGTCTTATAATTAGGCATGTAAGCTATGTCATATGATTCAGTCTATTAGAGCATATAACTGTTTTCTGACTTCATAGTATGTATTTGATTATAAACCTTTGTTTTCTTATATTTAGTTTTTTTTAAAGATTAAAATGGAGCAGTAAAGTGTCGACAAATCCACAACTTAACAGAGATTTTCTAAGGTAAACTTTATTATAAAAGCAATACAATAAAAAATACAGGATGGAATAAGGTGATACAGGATGGAATGTAAAAATCCTCCCCACCCTCCAATCTTCCAGTGTCATAACTGCAAAGTTTCTTTAAAATACTTAAATTTAGTAAATTTCTATCGTGTCAGAAGGCGTTGTTTCTTCTCTATTGGTTTGTTTTCCATAATGTTGATACATTAAAATATTAAGCATCACTACTGTTAGAGGTTTGAGACTCCTAATTTTTCAAAATATAGTTAACAATAATTGCCAAGTCTGTTTTCTTCACATTTAATATTTATTCTTCATATTAAAATAATAATGATCAACACAGGCATCTTATCCCTATTGATCACCAAAATTTTATAGTCTTATCTTGCAAGTGTAGCACATAGATAATTAAACAGTTGGTAAACATATACAGATTGAGCACAAATAAGGCCCTCAAGGTACTGCTGTGTAATGTATCTATCAACAGGTTGATCAAGCCAGTTGTTACATTTGACAGCAAGAAAAAAATTAACTGGTTTCTGTTCATAGCTGTGATTAAGCAAAGACTGGGTTCTTTCTTTTCAGCTTCAGAAACTAAAGGTTCTGAATGCTTTCTATTAGTAGCAGGTGACTGGATAAGTTTCCAAGAGCATGGGACTAGAGCCCCTTTAATAAGAAATTTGGCAAAACTCAGAATTATATCACCCAGTAATAAACTACTAAGAAGAATCAGGCTAGATGCAACTATCCAGATACAAAAGGCTGAATTGGCCATTCTTCGAGATACTACTTCTACATTTGCCTGAACTATGTAAAGAGCTATGAAGAGGCTTAGAGCTGTCAGTAGAATACAATAGGCTACTTGTACCAAGTCTTTGATATTTGATCTGTTTTTAAGCACATATAACCCTGTTTGTACACCAGCCATGTGTATTGCCACATACCCGAAGGTAGATATTATTCCTTCTCTGTTGGCATTTAACAAACCAACCCTAGTGCCACTGCCATCAGTGCCATACAAAATTAATCTTTTCAGTGGGGTAAAGTCAAGGGCTAGCTGGTATAATACAATAATGCTGATAGCCACAATCCAGGATTTATTTAGGGGGAAAATAATCAAAAGCAGTGATGTTACCAATTTCACAACTATTAAGGTAAAGAAAAAGTTCCAGTGAACTCCATATTCAGTTAGATGTTCCTGATAGCCTATGGACTTTACAGTGACTAATCGTCCCACTCCTAGGAAGACTAATGGCCAAACAGAGTACAATGACTTTGTAAAATAGTAAAATCTGGACCCTTCTATGTATTTTCTCCTAACCTCTGGAGAAACCACTGCAGTCCCAAATACAAAGCCTCCTACTCCAAAATCCATTGCCCCTGTCCCATAGAGCTCAGTTTTGGCAAATCTTCTAGGAAAAAGTGGAAAGTCCACAGCCAAGATGGCAATAGCTGTAAATGCACCATTAATTACACGGAAACAGGAGATGGCTGGAATGTATTCTGATTCTAGACTGACTTTGAAGAATTTTTCAAGGACTTTCTGGACAGGCATTCTGGTATAGCAAGTTCTCCTGCAGTATATTTGATAGAACAGAACTGCCCCAAGGATAATCACAGCAAAGTACTCCACGAGGGCAAATGAAGACAAAATGGTCAAAGTGGCCACCGGGGGAACTATTAGGAAAACAAAGTCAATGAAGAATCGAGTTCTCCAGGTATGTGAAAAACCCAAGTGCTGTGAGAGAATGATCAGGAGCCCTCTGCACAGGACACACAGTGCAGGCAGGCACAAGCCCTGGGTGACTTCCAGCACGCTGGTTCCATTGTGGTTACTGACAAAAGCTTCCTTCATCTGCTTTTGAGACATTTTTTTTTCTTCTTCCTGTGAGAACAAGACCACAGGAATGCATTTGTGAAAAGCAATGTTCTTGTGGAACTGGCATATATATGTACCTGACTCGATTTTACTTTTATTCCTAGGTTTCAGAGTAGAACTTTAGGCCCTAATGATTTCAAATCAGAGCAGAACCTAAGACTTGTGATTCCCCTTCCAAGAATTGTGGGAAGAAGCCTAAAACTAATACATTAGAATACAAACGACATGCTAATAGTATGAAATTATTGGTTAAAAAACTAGATACTCTCAGCATAAAGCAGACTCACAAATAAAGTTAATTTGGGATATAAACCTGGAGAATGGAATTACAGTCGTATGGGAATTCCTTTTATACAGCGTTGTATATGTGATGAAGATTATATAATGAAAACAGTACACTTGACTTTTAAGTCAAATCTGTGAGGGAAGGCAGGATGAGGCAGGGAGAGAGGTGTCTGAGTACACTTTGGAGTATGGGGGGGCCTTGGTTTCGGTTCAGTCTCTCTCAATCTACTGCCTCCAGTATAAAATGCGGTCCTCCAGTGATCTCCTGACCCCAGGCTGCTCCTTAACTGATCTACAGCCAGCCACATGTTCAGGTTAAGCGGTAAGTACGGAGAATTGATAGCTAACGGGGGAGGCATTAAGATACAGTACATACTGCAGTTGTTTTCAAGGGATTAAAAACACCTCTCTGCCACATATCAATGTCTGAAAAGTAGCACAGAGGAAGAACACACGTGTTGACCAAGCAAGAACTATACCGAATAAACGCATGCATACACGACGGCATGTCTGCACGCAGCAATACCTCACAATGACAAACCGATCCAAATAAACTCTTTTTTAAGAGTCCTGTTCGTGACAGACACGCGCCACGGCCGCGCCGGCCCTGAGGTCTTGCGTGCTGCGGGTGTCGCGGCGCCCCCGCGAAAAGGACCGTCTACGCTAGCCGACTCCCGCCGCATCGTTAGGTCCGAGGAACCGCGAGGCCACGCAGGGGCAGTGCGCTTCCGCCTTCCGAGCCCGCTTCCGGCCGAAACGGGCAGCCTGCGCTTCCGGGCTGGCGGATTCCGCGCCCCCGCCCGGGGTGGTGCAGGCACGAGCCCCTGCTGGCGCCCCACGCCTGTTCTTCCCTGCCCTGGGTTTACCCGGCTCGGGTTCTCTGGTCGTGGCTGTGTACAGGTCCTTCAGAGGTGCCCGGAGCGCAAAAAGCTGGTCCCGCGCCTCACCAGACTTTCAAACCCCTCGGCGAGGCCCTGTCACACTGGTCGGAGGACGCCGCGCAACCTTCGGCCCAAAGGCCCAGGAAACCCTGCCTCCCGCGCCAGAACACGGGAGGCCTACGTCTCTCCTGCATCTTACCCCAGGTTCTCAAAATATTTTCTCAGACGTAGCCCCCAATTCGGGATCCCAGCGCCCGGGCGAACCACGTGCTCCCGGAGCCGCGTGTGCACACCCCGCCCAGGGGAGGAGCCGGCCGGTTCCCAGCGACTCCACCAGAAAGCTGCCGGCGGTGTGATCGATCGCTCCTGGCTCTCTCCTCCCGCCCGCGCCTCTTCCTACCCCTTGCTCGGTCTCTTCCCGCCGCCTCACCCGGCTCGCCCTCCTTTCCAGTAGCTCTTGGAGGGGGCCGCATACTCGGCTACTCAGGCCGTAGGACCGGTGAGTGCCACCCCAGACGCGCTTTGGAAGGTCCGAAGCGCTGACCGACCCCGATGGGCAGGGGAGGCGGGTTTGCCCTGGAGCGCAGGGAGAAGGGGGCATCTCCCCTTCCCCTTTAAAAAAGCGCCGCTTCCCTTCCCTTTATCCTTTTCTTTTTGACCCAACCGCATCCCAAGAGGAGGTAGCCCAGCTCTTGTCCTTTGCCCAGGACAAGGACCTTTCAGGGTCACCCTCTCTCTCTCCACCTTGCCGGCAGGGGGCGGCCCGGGGCTGGGGAGGTCCCGGCTGGCAGGCTAGGTCCTGGCTCCTGTTCCTCTCCCCGCCCTACCTAGGGACCGGGGAAGGGGCGGCGGGCCCCGGGAGGCGTCAGCGCACCCGCGCCCTTGGCAGGGGTTACGTCCACATTAACGGGAAGGACAAATACGCTTCGTGCCAGGTGCTTTGGGAATGCCATCCCAGCCCTAGGCCTGGCAGGACCCTCGCCAGGCAAGGGAGTTCTCAGTTCCCGCCGGGAACCTAGGGGCGGGGCCGGCTGGGCTCCCACGACCCTGACCCAGCTCTTAATGTCTGCCTTCCCACTCTCCTTACGCCGGTAAGTGCTGGGGAGATAGTAATCAGGTTGCCATTTGCCTGGCTTTACTCGGTGTTTCGTCTATTCATTACCGTCTAGCTCCTACCGTCTAGCTTCTGGTCACACCCTTTCCAGAAATTCTTGGCTGGTAACCGCGAAGCCAACGGGGAACAAGGGCTAGAAGAACTGGAGAAAACCGCTCTAATCTGACTTGACTCTGGCTGGGTGCGGACCCTGCAATGTAATGACCAACTTTTGCAAAGCTCTCTCAGGTACTGGCCCATTTGATCCTTAACTCAGCGTTGTGAGGTCTGAATATTAGTATTTCTTTTTGCATACAAGGATAGGGAATAAGGCTTAGAGAGCTCTTGTGGTCTGCCTTCGAGGTGTTACGGGCTTTGGGTTCTAACCCCACAACCTGTTGTGCTCCCCCTTCTCTCTTAAGATGAGCTTCCAGTTGAGGGAGTTTTGTTCTCGAGAGTCAGGAGCCCTGCACATGACTATCCCTTGGATGTTGTAGTGTCTGTCCGGTGTGAATGTGTCCAGTACAGTCCTGAAGCCTGGTTTGCCCCTTTTTCAGTTTCCATGACGTTCTTAATCCCTGAGTTCTTTCAGATGTTTTCAGGGCCTCAAGAAAGTCTCCACCAGGGTTCCTCCATTAGGGATACCCCTCATCCTGATCCTTCCTTGCTAGGGAGATGGGAGGCCTGGGAAATTCTGTTGAGAGTCACCTGCAGTTTTTCAGAAACTGGCCTAGGCCCAGCCTCACAACACCTCTCCTAGAGGTTCAGATGCACTCCCATTCTCTGAAATCCTTACCTTCTTAAAGTTGACACTGGAATGTTCTACCTGAATTATCCCCCCAAATGGGTTACACATCCTTAGTAGTAATACTAAAAATATTCTTCCTCTGAATGTTCAGATTTGTATTTTGTAGGGTGCTTTCAATCCATGACCTCATTGGTCTTCAGAACCACTCCCCATTTTACTATCTGCATTTTCAAGATGAGGAATCAAGGTGGACCAGGAAGGCATTGTGGTTTACCAGTGAATTACTGAGCTATGATTGCCCTTCCACATAATAGCTTCCCTGGAGTATTAAGAGTTGATTCTGGCCTCTGCCCCACCAACTTTTGGCTATACTAAAATAGGATATTTCTGTCTAGTGAAGAGGATAGGGCTTCTCTGTCTCCATGTCTTCATCCTCACAGCACACTGACCCAGAAGACTTGGAGCCCCACCCAAAATCTCTAGTAAAACTGGCCCTGAAGGAGCCTGCGGAGTCTCTGCAGACTCATAAAAGTTTCCCCTGTTCCCTAATTGGCAGGGAACGGGAAAGACACTCCTTCTGCTTGGTGGAAGGAGCAGGAGTGAGTCACCCTGGAGAAGCCCTCATCAGTGTGTGGACCTTGTCTTCTCTCTCATGTCACAGGCTCTGGGGTGACTCATCTCAGTTTCCTCCAGAACTGAGCCCTTTGCTGGACCCATGCCCTCGCCTGTTCCCCCATGACCGGGTGGATAGCACTCGTGCCCGTGACCCAGAACCCTGGCTGACCACATTGAAGCAGGATGCTCCAGCAGGTAAAACCTCACTTGCAGACAACCTTCTCAAGCACCTGAGGCACCTTCCCATCTTTCACTTGCCTGAAGATTCCACTGCCCTGGCTTTGAAGAAAGGGAAAGACCTCTGAAAGATCTTGCTTTCTCTCTTCATGGAGTCACTCTAGTGTCTTTCCCAAGTCATCAAGAAGCTCTTCCTCATACCCAGTTTGAATCTCCTGTTGTGGTTTTTAGTTCTTTTTCCTAGGATAGGTAAGATGGGGTGAGTAAGGGAATCCTTAGGGCACTTTGGTGACCTTATAAGCCTGAGCCAGTGAGGGAGTTCTGAGAGATGTCTCTGCCAACTTGAATTATTGTGGCACAGTGGAAACCTGAGGCTTCCAGGAGGAGGTATTCCTTATAACTGAGCCTTAAATAGTAAGTAGGAGAAGTTAAGTGGAGAAGGAAAATAAGCAGTCCAGGCAAAGAGGTCTGCCTGTGCAAAAATGTGAGGGATGATGACCTCTGTGGACATAGAGTAGGATTCTGATGAGTGGATCGTGGATTCATGAGAGGTTGCTTTTGGAACATGAACCCTGCCCTTACCCCAGGCCTCTGCCTCTCTGGAAAAGCTGCTATGGGTCCAAGCCTGTATGATTCCAAATCACCCTTCACTGTTGGAGCCCCATCTCATCGTTTACATGCAGCTTTTGGTCTTGGGAGAATGCCAGTAAAATTTGCTGAATTTGTCTTTATTGTCACCAGGCACTGGGCTGAGGCACATGTTTAAGATGATACCTGCCCTCAAGGAGCTCATTGTCTGATGGAATCCTAGGCAGATAAGTGCCTGACACTCTGCAAGATGACTGAGTGTAAGGCCAGTGAGCCTCAAGGGGCCGTGCGTGACCTTCCAGCCTTTGGCTCATGAAATAGACTTCAAGGCTGGAGAGAAGTAGGCAGGACAGTTGTCTGCTCTGGGGTTCTTTATCGTGTGTGTTTAACTTTATTTGCTTCTTAAAGCAGTAATGTTTATCACAATCATACTAGCAGTGGCTCTCTGTTCAGCTTAGCATAAGTACTCTGCTAAGCATTTTACATGTATAATTTTGTTCCTCCAGAAAGATTCAGAGTTTGAGTGACTTACTCGAGGTCACATTCATTATACATAATGTGGAAAATACAGATAAACAAAGAGAACATTAAAATTACCCATAATTGTACTACCCAGACATAACCAACATATCCTAGATATTTTTTCCCTAAATAAATATTTTTAAAATATTTAAAGCTATCATACCTTTTTGTAACCTGCTTATTCTCTTGTAAGGATGTGCTATATAATTCAGGCTATTTGGACATACATGTTATTTTCAATTTTTTTACAATTACAAATGACTATACAACAGCATTCTTATGGCCTTTACACAGGATCATCTAGAAGCAGAATTGCAGACTTAAGGGACATGTGTAGTTTTAAGGCTCTTGATACATTATTGCCTAATTATAAGAGCCTCTTTTAAATAATAATAACTTTTGGGGGCATATACCAGATCCCTCTTCTAAATACTTTACGTGCTTAATAGTAACTGAGTGGTGCAACCATTCCCATTTTACAGAGGAGGAAAACAGGCACACAGAGATTAAGAAACTTAAGTAAGATAGCAAATGGATTCAAACTTGGACAAGCTAGCTTTCAAGTGCAGGCTCTTGACCATTATACTCAGCTGCCTCTCTGGTGGTATCAGAACTGTTCATAAATTATGGCTGGGTTTGTGAGTGGTTTTTTTTTCCCCCAGAAGAGAGGGATTTGCATGGATCCAGCCATGCTTTGACTTAAGCCCCTACAGTCCGTGAGCCTGCCATGTGTATTATGTGGGTCCAAGGTCAAAGAACAGGCAACATCTTTGGAAAGAACCTTGTTACTGGGCCTCTTGTATGATCCTCACCACCTTGACTTGGGAGTGTTGAACTCTCATAGTTCACTAGTCTCATAGGAAGCCTACACTTGTCATATTATAGATCCCTTCCTCCAAAAGCAGATTTCAGCCAGGTCTCTGTCTTTTACTCCCCACCCCATCTTCCCTGCAGCTCCCAGGAAGATGAGCAGAAATGGGTTTCATGGATGGAAAACGGGGGAAAGAAACATGTGGCATATGTCGGCATCAAGGATGAGAAAGGGGCCTATTCCCCTTGGTGCC